ATAGTTAATGGTTTGATAATTGTTAGATAGATATAGGTGAAGGTGAGCTAGATTAATGCAGAATTGTAGGTGATTTTCATTTTTAAGAGGTGGAATAGTGGCAGGTGAAGCAAAAATTTCTGGGTAGTTAAGTTTAGTAAAGAGTACAGTAGTGAATGTGAGAATGAGTTTTTTGAGAGTTTCTTCAAGGACATTAAAAGGTATTGTGGCAGATTGGTCAGTTGTAAGATTATGTTTTTGGATTAAGTCTGTTAAAAATTTGGGTTTGGTACTAGCCATTTGTCGAATAAGTAGATAAAAACTAGATTTGAGTGCAGGATGGTTTTCTGTTGCTTCTTTAATAATCTTTTCTAGAAAGAAATTATATAGGTATTCTTTAAGAAAGTTAAATAGTTGTTATGAAATATCTATTTGAAGTTTAGTATTGTCTTTCATTTCTTCAGTGACTGGAAAGTTTGTTAACCAATTGAATGATAGATTAAGTTTAGGTCTTGCAGCTTGGCTATAAGGTTGTTTTAGTTGTTCATGTAATTTTTGTTGTTGTTGTTGTTTAGATTGCTTAGATGTCTCTTGTTGTTGTTGTTGTTGTTTAGATTACTTGGGTGTTTCTTGTTATTGTTGTTCTTTTTCTTGTTGTTGTTGCTATTGGCTATTATCAGATAGGTTAGAGCTATCAATATTCATGGCAATAGTGTCTGTTGTTATATCATTTACTGTTTTTTCAGTAGTAGGAGTGAGAGGATTAAGTTCAAGATGAGTGGATTGTTGGTATAGAATGTGTTGAGTGATTGTTCGAGTTCATGAAGTGAAGGTGTTCAGGAGAATCCTTGTTCTGGATTAATAGTAGGTTGTTTACTGGCTTCAGGCTCAGTTTCAGTTTCGAGACAAGATTTGTGACAAGACTTGTCATTAAAGAGTTCAGCATCAGCAGCTAGATAATGTCTATTATTAGTGACTTTACAGTTGATAGGTTGATTGCATTTAGAGCAAGTATGCTGATGTAAAGATGGTGAGGGTGATGAGGTAGGAGATGGTGGGATGATATTTGTAGAGTTGATGGTGTTTGTTACAAATAGTTTTTTATTTTTTGGTCTTTTAATAACATTGGTACTTGGATGTTGTTCGTAAGTAAGATTTTTGTTTGATTGAAAGTTTGTATGATATTTACCACATAGACAGATGGCTGTGGTACTAGTAGCAGGTGCTTGAATATAATGACAGGTTTTGATGCTATCTCTAAGTTCTGTGATAATGCAGTTATTAGGTTGTTTATTTGCAGGTGTTGGATGTGATATTTCTGACATATCTTCATAGATTCCAATGCCAAAACTTTTTGAAAATTTTTTATAAAAGTAATCCAAATCAATGAAGTCAGGTTCAGAGCTTACTAAGGTTGGCATTTTGAATAAAATTACTTAGAAAACTAGGCTTGTTTTGCTTAGTAAGATTTAAAGATATGAGGTTTTAAAATAAAATAATAATTATAGATTTTATTATGGAGTAGGATTTAAGTTTGCAGGGGTATTACTGCAGCTTTGTGTAACCTTATATAACCTAGGTAACATGAGTATGACTAGTGTGGCTAATGTGGCTGGTATGGCTAGTGTAACACAAAGTTATAATTAGTTATGTATTACAATGGCTATTGTGTATTAGAGTACAGAATTTATTTTTAGTAAATTAATACAAATTAATTTGTAACAAAGTAAATTCTTTTTTGGTTAAATTTAATTTACACAATGTAATATTAAATGAAACCAATTTTGGAAATGATTTAAGATTATACGAAAAACATGTAAAGGAGAAAATTTGGGAGTAAGGATAAAGTAATTTTTTAAAGAATAATAGAGGAGTTAAAGTTGTTTTTTATTATAATTCCATCAACTTTGGGGCTACAAGCTTCTTTTTGGGCTTGTTTTGATTGGAAAGAGGTGCTTTACAACTTTTATTAGGACAGTATTGTGGATTAAAATATTAACAGATGAGAAATAATTAAAAGTTTGATTACAGAGGCCAAAAGCCATTTTAGCAGTATTAAACTGCAAGTTTGAAAGCTAAAGACCTATAACTTTCAGAATATATGTATAATTGTGAGCTGAACAAGTTTAATTAAGGCACCAAAGTTGGTTATCTTAGTAAGATAACCGGGTATTAGTGATTTTGTTACTGACGAATTTTTTGTTATTTTGTATAAAAGGATTTATAGAAAGAGTTTAAGTTTAAAGTTTAATTAAACTTAAATAATTATATTTATAATTTTTTATTAGTATTTTATTTTAATTATTTATTATTTTTGACAAATTTTCTATATTAATATTCTTAACTTTAAATAATTTTTCATATATTTTTTAAATTTATTTTAAGATTTTAAGTTTAATTAATATATTTAAAACTTTCAGAATTTTTATTTTTATAGCTACCAAATATACTATGTATGTTTTAACTTATACTAGATATAAAAATATCTAATAAATCTCTTATCTTTTTTTATTCAATAAGTTTATAAACAAATTTGCTACTTTTCTGTAAGTTTAAAAATTTATTTTGTAATATACTAAAACCTAATTTGTTGTTTTTTTGAAAATAAAAATAATTTAATTTATGTAATATTTTGCTATTAAGTTTTGAAAATTTTTGTTTAGCCTTTGAATTAGGTTTTTTGATACAATAAAAAGTTTAAATGCTTTTATTATTAATTAAAAAAATATTTTTAATAATTATATTTTTTAGAGTTTGTTTAATTTGATAATTTCTTTATAATTTCTTATTTAACTCTATTGTATTTTATGCTTTTTGTATTACATTTCTAATAGGCAAAACTAAAACTAATGTACTTGGTAATATCAATAATATTTTTACCAATAAATAAGTTAAATTTTTAAATTTTATATTAACTTACTTGCAAAATTAAATATTATTATTGTTTATAAATATATATTTTAATTTTTTATTATTATATAAAGTAACAGCTTTTTGTTTATAAGCTTTTTAATATCTTTACTTTTGTTTATTATATTAATGTTTATTATATTAATATTTTTTCAAATAACTATTTAACTAAAAATTTTTATTGATTTTGTTTAAAAATGCATATATATTTATTAATAGTAAATAATCTTTATTTTAAATTTATTGTTACTGTTATTATTCTTTTTTTTGCAAGTTTTGTATATTTCTAATATAATATATTTGTTTTTTGCAAGAATTAACACTTTAGAACTCAAATAGAATTTAAATATTTATTGCTTTTTAAGAAAGCTTTTAGTTTTTAGATTTCTAAAATTTATTTTTTATAATAGTATTATTAATTATATAACCTAAGTAGTATTAATGTCTTTTAATACTTGTATTAATTATTTAATTTTTTACATTTAGTAATATAATTTTAATTAATTAACTTTTTGTATAGTTTTTTTATTTTTCTTATATATATAGATCCAATCTGTTTGTTATAAAGTGTTTTTTTGTTTATTGCTTTTTTTTTAATTCTTTTTTAAGTAACTTCTATAAAATCTTTATTATTCTATTCTTCAGTAAATTGAACCTTCATGTTTATTTTTTTATTGTCCAAAGCATAGTGAGAATGTTTTTCTTCTACTTCATTTTATGCAATGTCCATTAAGAATAACTAAACAAATTTTTAAATTAGGTAACATGACAGATTCTCAAATATTTTATGTTTTAGACCTATAATGGTTTCCATTTTCCTAGTTTTATTTATATTTTCTATATCAATTTCCAATTATTTTTTATTATTCCATCTTTATTGTTTTTCACTTGAATTATCTTATTCAGTATCTTTTTTCTTTCTGTATTGTTTTCTATACTAAATTTTCTTCTTTGCTTCCATACTGTCTGTTGATAAACACATTTTATTCATTTCAATGACTTTCTGTTACCAGTTTATTTTTATTTCTTCTGAGAATTATATATTTGAATTGTCTTTTTTGTTTTAAGAATTCCTTATAATAATATTGAACTTTTATTGCCTCTTCATATTATTAATAGTTTCTTTATATGACATTCTGTATTGCAAAAGTAACAAATATTAAAAACCATTTTTTATTCTATAATAGTGTTCTGAATTTATATACTAACAGATCTTGAAATTCTATTTGTCAGATTTGGATCATCAGTAATATCAAACATAACTATCTATTAATTAAATAATAAAAAGCACTATTATATAACAATTTCTTAATAGATACTATCTTATATTTTTCAATGCTTTTTAGAATTCCTAAAGCATGAGTTTCTTTTTTGCCATCAGCATGTTTAATTGAAAAAAATGCATTTTAGGTTTGCAAAAATGTGACTATAACAGGTTTGTTTAAACTAGGAATATTAACTAGTTAAAAATTAACTATATCAGTTAAAAGCTGGCAATTATCTACATAAACTGGTTTTAACTAGTTGCATAAAACCGTTTATAAAATTACATAAACAGTTTAGTAAAACTAGTTAACTAGAGTTATTAAACTACTTTGGCTATTTAGCAAGCAATTTGATTGGATAAAATAAAATATAACTCATACGTAATGGTAATACTTGTGGTGGATTAAAGTTACTTATATAGTATTTAAAGTTTTATGACATGTTAACAGACGTGATAAACCAACAAGTTCAACCAATTTTGATTCTGATGATAATCATGTAAGTCCCGAACTGAGTTAGTGTAGATTTTTTTTAACAAGTTAACATCCCTAGTTAAAACATCATGAAACCTTCTACTGAATATTTTCTAAGCTTTAGTTCATTTTTTAGGATAAACTTCAAATAAGTACATGTGTTTTTAATGTAATATGAATTTGTTGCAATAAAATCTGATCCATATTTTTCATACATTATAGTTAATGGAAACTTCTTGTAGACTTTGAATATCTATGATAAGTGCATTATTATTCTTTGTATATATGCTTTCATAGGATGAAGGTAGAATATGTAACTTGCCCTCTAGTTAGTTTTGTAAATAAGCTAGACCAGGTTTTTGTAGATTCTACTTAATTTAGTAGATTTATAGTTTCTGTCGTTGTGGCTGCACCTGATTTGATCCTGCCTGATTTAATTAATCAAATTTCTTATTACTGTCCAAACTTGTTATCACGATTTTTCTAGGACCTTCAATATTATTTGCCATTGAACTTTCCTCATTGTTTTGCACTTTTGGCTTGGGTGTATTAGCGTAACTTGGAATGTGTAAAGCTTCCAACCTTCTTTTTATTTCCATCGTTTCCGCCCAACTCTGAGATGATCCACTTGTGTTTTCGAGATCTAACTGGTTTGTTTTTGCCAGTTTCTTTTCTTTGGACTTAATATATGAGCTCTATTTGTTTCACCAGTAGAACTTTTAAAATCTGCCTGTTTTCAGCTTCGTTTCTTATGGCAAGGGCCTGTGCCCCTCTACTAGTATTGTTTTTTTTCTGTATGCGAACTTTGGTTGTTATCTTTACTTCTTTTCAGCCACCTGACACCGGAAAATGTCAAAGTGAATGCAGATCTTTTTTTTACTGCCAAAATTTAGCAAACATCAGTGTAATTTAAGTTCTTCTGATAATCAAAAAAAGGAATGAATTATACAAATTCAATTAATCATTTAGATATCGGTTACAGTTAATGGCAATGTATTTTTATACTTAGATATAATCAGTCTTACATTATAGTGAAATTTATAGTAAAGGAAATATTGCAATAAAATTAGATTGTAATTGTATAAAAAATTTGCTTGTAATTAATTTTTCAGTACCCCTATAAATAAAGAATCATACATAAATTTTATAGTTACTATTACTCATACATACTTTAACTACCATAAAGTTACAAATAATAATATAGAATCTATACTAATAAAATATTTCTAATATAAGCAATCAATTTTTCTTTTATTAACAATCAAAGCAAACTTTTAATTATATTATTTTAATCAAGTTTAATTAATAGGACTGTCCATTTCAATAGAACAGTGACCAGAATAGGTTATATAAACATATTCAATTTTACTGATTTTGGAATCCTATAATTGGATTCTATAAATATTGTGCTCATTAAAATTATTTTATCAAGGCGGTTATTTTGTTGGTAAAATCAACTAAAAAGAGTTTGGTGAATCAAAGGTTATTTACTGTCAAAATTTGTATAAATATTTAATAATAATGATTCCGTAAAGAATGTAAAAAGTTTATGTCAATTTTTGTCGATTAGTCGGTCTATATTATCGACATCAGCCTTAATTAAGATTAAATTTTAGGTTAAATTAGAATTAGATGATTTAATTAAAGTATATATTCAAAAAATTGGGTACGAAATTTTTTCTTGTTAGAACACGAAAAGTTATTTCATAGTCAAAATTTCTTAAAAAAAAACAATTCTTAATTTATCAAGCGTTATCAACTAAACCTTGCAAAGCATTCTTGCATGCTTCTATAAATTGCCAGATGGTGTGAGAATTTTATATACCAGAACAATTACTACAGTACCGGACAGTAAAACACATCTAATATTTATTAATAAAAACTTAAAGTGTTATAACTTTTTAAAAACAAGCTAAATCAAAAAACCCTGACAATTTATAGATTTTCAGATAAACTAGATTTCTGTCAGAGGATTTTTTTTTATTCTTTGTTATAAAAAGGTTATAAAGGATTAAATTTTATATGAGTTCAAAAAATTGGCGTTTATTATAAAAAAAAGTAATCATATATATTTTTAATCAATCAAAATCAATTATACAAAAATTAGCCAATCAAATTTGATTATATATGCTCCCAAAATTGGCGCCTATATGTGAGATTGGATGTCTTTTACTGTCCCGTACTATATAAAGAATAAAGCAAAATGTCTAATGACTAAAGAATTATGAATTAATGAATGGAATAAACACATGTATTTAAAGTTTAAACTTTGTTTAAAGATAAAGAAAAGTAATTCTTCGTACATTTTTTCCAATGGGTAATTAAACTTATTAATATCAATTTAATATTAACTTATTATACAATAACAATAACTAATCCATGCTATGTACTCTACCTATATAATTTCTATTTTTATATAATAATTTCTATTGGGTCTTATAAAGCAATTATGATATGATGCATATATTTTTAATTAGACATGAAAAAAATAGGAAAAATATGCTAAATGTTAAAATGTGAAAAAATTATGGGAACCAAAAGTTGAACAGAACCATCACTTCCTAGCCCATGTGATTTTCATAACCAAGTGAAATCACCAGTTTAAATAAATATCATTATTCTTATTAAATCTATTACGTATATTACGTGGAGTTTCAAGAGATCTTTTCTTCGGTTGTTCAATTGAAGTAACCCAAACGTTCTTTTGGGTGTCAAAAATATAAATATTTTTATTATATGTTTTTTCATTGTAGATATTCGTAACGCGACCTGAAAATATAAATAAATATTGAATTTTTTTTTAGAAATATTTTACAAATGGATAAGAATTTTATAGTATAATAATTACCAAATGCTACAACCATGTAATTATTATATAATACTGCGCTATGGTATGAGAGTGGTGGAGGAGAATTATCATAAGCAATACATGGAATATCCCATGTCCAATCATTTGTATTTAACTTTGCAAGATCAGGACTAACATGTGGCCCTGAAGATACAAGAAGTGTACCACCAAATATAATAATGTTTCCATCTGAAGCTAATAAAAAAATTTGTTGTTACTAAAAACAATTAATGACTATTTAATATCCATAATACGATAATACTTACTTAATACAGCTGAATGTCCTATGCGGATGTCAATACGATCAGCTAATCTATCAATTTCCTAAATTGGTAACATAAGTTAGTTAGAAATATTGGTTTATTTGATATAACATTAATTATGTACATACTTGAACATTCCAATTTGAAGATGACGTGTCGAATATAAAAACCTAATTATTTTTAATGAAAGTAATTCATTAAAATTAAATGTTAAATATGAAAAAAAATAAAAATAAAAAATCAAGCATACCGAGCTCATAGTAACAAAATCTTCACTGAAACCACCAATATAAACAATTCGGCCATCTGATAATAATGTAGCGCTAAACCCAACATAATCCGTACGAGGAACCGAATTCATCTTTAGAATTTCCCAAGTCATTTTAGCAGTATCGAATACATGCATATTAGCAAAATTATTTGATGTATTCCAATAACTACGCCCAGCAAAACTATAAATTTTTCCTTCATTATTAATGATAACGCTTAATTCATTATAGTGATTGAATTCACCAGTATACCCAGCTATATTAGCAGTATTTGGTTCATTTAACTTTAAGTTATTAGAATCAAACACAAATATTGGGTGTGATTGATCTGTGAAGTTATTACTATTTGGCAAAAATGCCCTCCCACCAACCAAATAAACAGAAGTTTTATCAACAGGACTAAAAACAGCGTTGCCCATAGTATACCCGAATGGCAATTCGCCAGCTTTAACCCATGGAGGATTTGCTGTATCGAGTTGTTTTGTCAGGTCAAGATAGAATATTTCATTACTGGGCTCTTGATTTTCCGTCCAGCCTCCAAAGCAAATAAACTTATTAACAGCTACAGTACAAGATTGTTGATGTCGGGCAACAAAGTTGTCTTGACATCTTACAAATGAAAATATTAAATTTAACGTAAAAAAAAGATAAAGAAATTTTTGATAAAAGTTCATATTGAAGTAATAATAAATTTTATCAATTGTAAAATCGAGTTGGATTTGATCCAGGTTTTTATAATTAAATTTTGTTAAAAAAAAACTAGAAAGAATCTAATTTGTTTTTTTGATCCACAGAGCATTGATATTATATTATGATAAATGAATATTATGACGAGAATAGTTCCGATCTATTTTTCATTAATTTAAAATGTATTTTCAAGAATGAATACTAAATCTTTTTTTCATTGATTATTTTATTTAAACATTTGACTATCTCTATACCAAAATAGGTATGTAAATCTAGTTTAGTAAAATTCATTAAAAATAGTTTGAAAAATATCGATATTTGTACGTATCACGTAAATTAAATAACAAAAGTTCGTTTAATTGTAAGCTATTAGGATTAATTTCATTCTAAAGTTATCATCTAATGTTATCTAATGTCACACACAACAGGTTATAAATGCGATGTTAAATTTTGTATGGAACGTGGGAAGTACAATCGTACATTTACAATCGTTGTAAATCTAGAGATCTACATTAGGGGTGTTAAGTAGTCTGACTAGCTAGCTAAACTAGCTAGTTCTATTAAATAGATCCCGTTTTTAATCAGGTGGTTAAACTACTTAACATCCCTAATCAACATGACCCTGGGGTGTTGAATTGCGTATCTTATTATACTCATACTAACTATGCACATCACTGTGTTGGCCGATGATCTAAATCATACCATTTTTTTTCTATATGTTAATGAAAAAAATTTTACTATGATTCTTACTATTTTAAAAAAGGTCATAAGTCATATCAATCTTCGTTATGGCCAAATACCTGTAAGTCAGGAATAAAAATGAGTTATATCTGTCACGTATAAACACAGTTTTAAATCGAATATAGCTAGTTAGTGTAATAAAATGTGTGACAGCGATTTCAGTCTAACTAGATATATAATATGGTAATTGAATTTTTCTATTTATGTACGAATGTACATACATACACACGTTTATCGTTGATCGAGTAATATATAACGTAGTATAGTATGAAATAAAATATGAAACATAAAAAGGAGTAGCGTAGGGCATCTTTTAATTCTTATATTCATATGTATATTTAAAAATCAAACTTATAAGTAGGAAAGATGACCATACTTATAAGTATAGTAAGTATGAAGATGGTCATATTTGTATGTATACCTGTGCGACTAAAATGTGAAGCGAACATTTCACGTGATATAAGGCACCAGGACACATGGGCAGAAGTTTGTCTGATTGGCTAATAAATTCAATTTAATTTTACATTATTTATACAATTTAGAGTACTTTTTAAAAAAACGAAAACTAAACATAATGAAATGAAAAACGCTGTATAGAAGTTTTCATTAGAGTTGTAGGACTCCATAGCCAAAAATAATAATTTATTCTCTTCCATTTAAAAAAGTTAGTATAGTAATGACTTCTCAAAAGCCAATAAAATCAAGTTATTACTAAGCTAACTTTTTTAAACGGACGAGAATAAATTATTATTTTTGGCTATGGAGTCCTACAGCTCTAATGAAAACTTCTA